ACTTTCAGTTAAATCCACAGGAGAATTACTTGCCAAGAGTTGTTTTTGTTTGTTATGTCATGACCTTGATGCTATGGCTATGCCTACATGTAGCTGTCTCCTCAAGTGGCGATCTGATTCACAGATTATTCTGTATAGCCTGAGAAAAGATCAGTAAGGAAGTACCCTGTGTGAGACAATTCTAAAGTTACATGGGGAAGGCTTGAAAAATTCTGATCCAGACTTTCATCCTAAAACAGTGCCACATCTCAAATCTTCTGTAAAATGATAGTTGTCTGGGGAATGCTTACTAAATTGTGGCGTGGAATCTGATTATTAAAGTTATTTGAAGGGACTGTAGCAGTCATCCAGTCCAGTATTTCTTTACCCTGGCGTTATTAAGGGCCTGTTACGTATCAGATGTCATAGTGGGCACCGGGGATCTGCAACAAAGTAAAACAGTCTCCCTCTTGTAAGGACCCCCAGTTTTCCTCACACCTACTCCTAGAAGCCCTTCTAGCAACAAATGCCAGCCTCTGGTTAGACATTCCTAGTGATAATAAGTGCACTGTTTCACAGGACAAGTCATTCCTTTTTAACACAGTTTACAGAGTTGGAGGGGACCAAGGAATATCCAGTTATTCCTTGACTCAATTTTTTACATGAAATCTTGCTCAGAACACTAGTCTGTAAAATAGATAAAATTAGCTGTGCTCCAGGTGTGGCCCTGCCCAGTTGACTGCCCCCTCTCCTTCCTTAAGAGGCCCCACTCACTTAGGACCCTAGCCTAATAATTTGGATCAACTCTAATAATTAGAAAGATTTTTCCTAAATTGAACTTGTTACTTTCTGATTTTTCCAAATTCAGGCCCCTGGAGCAGCACAGTATAAATTTACTTTGTCTTTTATAAAACTCCTTTGATACTTGAATAACCAGTATGCTCCTTCCTGCCTACACCTTCCCTTCTCCAAGATAAATCAGCCTCTAACCTTTAACCTTTCTTCAGGGGACATGTTTTTAAAGCTTTAGTCAGGAAATTTTTTTTTTAAGTTATTCTATTTCTTCTTCCAGCTTGGAAACTAAAGACAGAACTTCTCTCTCTGGTGAATTTGAGGTTGATTTTTAATTCCCTTTCCCTATCCTTTATTTTTTACCACCGAGTCCAAATATTTTCAGCCTCTTAGAAAGAGTTGTTTATTATCAAGGTCAAAAAAGAAAAAAAGATACTGAAGACCTGGCTTTCTTAGATGGAATTATACTGGCAGCCTCAACTTAATTCCCATTTTAGTTCCCTGCCCACACAGCATCTCTCTCCACAGTCAACCAGATGTCTGTCAGCATCACAGGGCAGGCCCTGAGCTGTACATCCTCTAGTTAACATGCTGCTGTTGGATCAAGTTTCACAGGCCCACAGTGACTTTTCCCTGCCCATACCAGAGACCACTTGGCGTGGTATGGGCACCAAGCAAATGGAAGCGGCCTGTGAAGGGCAGAGCAGCAGATTCCTGCATTGCCTAAAGTGCTTCAGTTTCATTCATCATCAAAGACTGCCTTTTGGGGGGAAATAAATGATAGAGCCATTTTTGACATGAGAATGCAGTATGTCTTGGTGTCTGGAACAGTTGATCTAAAGCCCCATCTTCTTTTTACTCATTTGAGTTGACTGTTCTGTGGTTGATTCTGTTAGGTTTGAGAGCATTTTATTCCCTTTGTTTTCACCCTCTTTCCATATCTTGTGTAGAATGGTGTATTCAAATCTAGTTTGAATTTAATTTCATGAGCTAAATATGGCACTTAGGAAGTAAGAGTGGATGATAGTACTCTGGCTTTCTGCATTTTGTTGTGTTTTACCATCTGTGCAACATATGAAGATTTCTGTCCCTTTGTCTGCTGGAAATTATGGAGGGCACACAAGGTGAGAGCTGCTTGCCGTCTTTAGGTACTGACACTGCGCCGGGAATTCTTAACCTGGAACTTGTAGAACACCTAGGGGATCTTTGGCATGCTTTGTGGCTCCTTAAACAGCCTAAAATTGCATGCAAATTTGTGTGTATAAATTCTTGTTGGCATTTTTCTGGAGATTTTTCAAGGCATCTGAGACTAAAAAATGGTTACAAATGACTAGATAGGAGTTTCAAGATCCTGAAATTGAACTAGATATGTTTTCTAATCATAATATATTATGGTGGTGTTGATTTATTTTGTATTTAAGGCAATTTCTTTAAAAATCTCTGTTTTAAATCAGGCCTGTAAACTGAATGTCATTCGACCTTATTTGAATCAGGACTAATTGGCTCCCTCCCACCCCTCCCCCCGAGGATATATGGAAAGCAAAAGAAAACAGAAGAGTGCCATCTAGGGGTCCTAATGACAATTCCACATCTTTGGAATCAGGCCCAGGCCTGCTCCCTACACAGGGGTCTTTAGCTTTAGTAACTTTCTAAATTAAGAATATTTTTCTCCTCAGGTAATTGCAGACCATAAAGGTGTGTGTCAGTGATATTTATAGCCTATTCAGGTGCTACAAGTGTGGGGTCTATTCTGGCTACTCTGGAAACATGATTTTAATAGATGCTTAAAGTTTAGATAGCATTTCCTCTGTTTTTAAGGGAGATAGGAATTTAAGACTTTGGGATATATGCTGCATTTGAATATGCTTTGAGCTGTAAAGCAAGACCAACTTAATGCCTCCTAAAAATCATTTTAATATAGGGACTTTGTTTTGTTGTATTTCCTAAGTCAGAATAAATTAAAACTTAAGAGTAATTTGCCTTAATTATTCTTAGTATTCCTTTCAAGATGACAATGTAGAATAGTGTTTGCCAAATGATGCATAAATTGTGGAGTTACACAGTTGAATTCACTCTGGAAAAATAGATCAAGCAGAACTTATGTCCATGTGAAGATGTATAACAGGGTAGACAAGAGCATAGCTCTCAAGTCTCAGCTCTGGGATTACTTTGAAATGTTGAGTTTGTTAACTTGTTTCTTCTTTTATAAGTGGTGCTGATAATAGTATCTAGTTTAAAGTTGTTGTGAAGATTAAATGAAATAAAGTTGGTAATCACTATGCCTTGTATATAAAGCTTTTTAAAATTAGTAATAATTTATTGTTATTACTGACCAGTTTTGAGGACAGCTTTTATGAAATAGAAACAGAAAGATTTTAAACCTATATCTTACAGAATTTTATAGTTTTAAAAAGCATTTTAACAAATACAATCTTGTTTGGTTGGAGTAAGTGTTCAATAAGTATTTATTTGTTCATATAGTCAGTAGATATTTATTCTGCTCCTACAGGTATAATAACCATCTTTGCTTTTGGAGGTTTGGTACTGGAAACAGCAGTAGGAAAGACATGGACCTTAAATTGTGGTCGGGGAGTTAGATGATAACAAGTAAATAAATAAATAATATGATTTCACAGAGAAATCATTAGTGTTAAGAAAACTAGTTAGTGTGTGATATAAAAGAGAGTGACAGGAGGCCTACTTGAGGTGGCCAGGGAACAGCTTTCTCAGAAAATGACATTTAAGCTGTTACTGGAATGACAAGGAGCTAACCATGTGAAGAAGGTCAGAGGAGCAGCCATTGCAACTAAAGGAAACAGAAAGTGTAAAGGCCTTCGGTGGGAGTGTGTAACACATGTGCACAGGCTAGGAAGAATGCCAGTGCGGCTGGATGGAGCTCAGCGAGCCAAGGGGAGAGGGGTTGGAGATGAGGTCAGAGATGGAGGCTCGAGAGTGTAGGCCCAGGACTTCGGAGTTTATTCTGAGGGCTGTGAGAAGTTTGGAGAATTGTAGGCAAGGTAGTTTATGGTCAGATTTATGTTTTAGAAATAGCCCGTTTGCTTCTCTGTTGGGCAAGAGTGGAAGCAGGAAAAACATTTAGGAGATTTGTGCAATCGTCTAAGTGACAGATGAAGGTGGCTTGGGTGAAGATTTTGCAAGAATGGTTCAGAAGTTTGGATTCTGCCCACAGCTGTGTGCATTACAGAGGCAGAATAGCACGGGCCGAAGAGCACCAGCCAGAGTCAGAGTGTCTGGTTTGAAATCTGACTTACCATGTGGACTTGGACAAGCTTTGTGACTTCTCTGCGCCTAATTTTTGCCATTTCTGAGATGAGAATGATGATAGTACCCTTCTCCTAGGATTGCTATCCGGATCAAATGAGATAATCATAATTGTAAAGTGCTCAGAGGAGTCTTAATAATGCTGTTTTTATCGTCATCACCACCACCTTTATCACAAGCACTCACTACTCTGACATCATCCTCAATACCCTCAATTTACAGAGAACATAGAGAGTGGTTTTAAAATCAAAATATAAGCCTCTTAATTTTGAATCCATTATTCTTTCAGCAATATATTATATGGTATGAGCTCCTAGAGAGAAATATCTATTGATCTGAATCTCTAGCTCAGAGTCCAGTTGTATGCACCTGTGAATGTTTAAACAACACTGAGAAAATAAAAAATAAGGCTGTCAGAGAGTCTCAGTGTGTGGTAGGGAGGCATCTTGTGCTTGTGCCACTCTCCCTTGACCTTGAACCATTAGAAATGTTAATTCCCTGAATTTTTAAGAGAGCTTTTGGTCACCTAAGCCAAAAGTATTAGTGTGCACATAGTAATACATTTAGGAGGAAAGAACTCACCGTTCTGAGGTCCTTATAAGATACTGAATCTCTTCTGAGGACATTGAGTTCTTCATCTGTTGTGTTAAATAGGGCCATATGTAATATAAATAAATGAAATCTAAGGATTATCCCAACTTTTTCTAATCAGACTGTTAGTAAAGGTATTAACCAGACTACCAGATTTGAATTTCTCTTTTCTTCATCTCTTTCTGCCTTTGCCCAGTCCCATCTGGGGCAAGCAGTGACATAGGTAAGGATCAAGGAACAGGACAGACAAATGAGAAGCAAGGACCTAGAAAGTCTCCCTGCTCACCTTGCCTCACTAGAGGCACCGCTTGCATCTCCCTCCCCAAGATGAAGGGTGGGCTCTTTGTCTGTTGCAGAGTGTGAGCACTTGATCCGTCACATGCTGGTGTTGGACCCGAGTAAGCGCCTCTCCATGGAGCAGATCTGCAAGCACAAATGGATGAAGCTGGGGGACACCGATCCCAACTTTGACAGGGTGAGCAGGGAGCTTTAGGGAGCTCTCCTCAGAATGACTGGAATCTCTTTTGGATGAGATTGTGATCAGACCAGGATGTGAACAGGCAGCACTGGGAACAAACTCTTGTGTGATACTTAAGGAAGGAGTGAAAGTAGGAATTTTGAACCAGCAGAGTTGTTGGAGAATAGTGCTACCAGTTCCCTACTACTTATCCCCAAATCAATCTCTTCTTGGCTTTTGAGACAGTACCTGCAATTCTGCAGCTTACCCACCATGGAGACGTCTCCTTCCTCTTGTCTTACTTAGTGTGCTTATTCAGTGGCACTGATAGCATACCTTTATTTAAACCATTGCGGCCATCTTTGGTACCCCCAGAGTCGCTCAGGAAAATTAGAATCTTGTCTGTCCACAGCTGAGTACCCATGACTTTGTTGCTTAGGCTTTGTCTGAGGCCAGAAAATATCCCAAGCTAGGGGACATGGAACAGCTTGATATGTGATGATATACATATGTGATGTCTTCTTAATGTGGCTAATTAGGGATTTGATAGCTTACTTTTTTTTTTTAAATGTTACAGTTAATAGCTGAATGCCAACAGCTAAAGGAAGAAAGACAGACAGATTCTTTGAATGAGGATGTCCTTTTGGCCATGGAAGACATGGGACTGGACAAAGAGCGGACACTACAGGTATCTCTAAAGGAATGGAGAACAAAGATGTAGTCATACTCCCTGTATCCAGCCTTTTCTCATTTTTCCTTTCTGGGATCTTGGGGCTTTTTTTATTTAAATAAAAAAATAATTTTAGTAATTTTAAAATAATTTTTTAATTTTTCAATTATAGTTGACATACAATAGTATATTAGTTTCAGGTGTACAACATAGAGTTTAGACATTTATATAACTTACAAAGTGATCACCCCAATAAGTCTAATACCCAGCTGACACCATACATAGTTATTACAATATTACCAACTAAATTCTCTATGCTGTATTTTACATCCCTGTGACTGTTCTGTATCTGACAATTTGTACTTCTAAATCCCTTCACCTTTTTCACCCATCCTCCCCAGCCCCCATCGCATCTGGCCACCATCAGGAACTTGGGTCTTTTTATTTGCCTCCAGTTCTTCCTCATACCCCTGTCTGGGCCTTAGAAAGAACGTGCTTTGGTCTTCTACTGTCATTTGGTCATTGACATGCTGTTTCACCAGGGTTTTTTACTCTTTCCCTTTTTTTCTGTTGGAAGTCATTAAGATCAGATGCCTATGATCACTATAGTGCAATCTACAGTCTGCTGTGTGATCGACACAAGAGACATAAAACCCTGCGTGTCGGAGCGCCTTCTAGCATGCCTCGAGCCATGGCATTTCAAGCACCAATCAATATCCAGGTGGGCAATAACTCTAGTGACTGGATTTGGGACAAATAATATTGGGGGAAGGGGGCAGAAGGTGGTTAGCCATTGCTCACAAACTCTTAAGAGTTTCTTGTTCTTCCTTACCTCTGTCCCATCCACCTATCCTCTTTTCCTTTGTCAGATCAAGCAAAGATCTGAGCTTTTCTTACAGTGGATGGAAGGGTATTCAAGTACTTGAGGTGGACAGTAGTTACAGTCTTTGTTTTGTTTTTGTTTTGAAGAAACAACAAATCATTGAGAAAGACTGTCATCTCTAAAAAATGCTTTTTTAATACTGCTTTTAAGGGCAGAGGAACCAAAGACTCAGAGGTAGAAACATAGACTTTAGCAATCAAGAATTCTTTGAAAGACTATCGTCTCCCTCTAGTGTTTAAGTAATGTGTGTATCTGTATGTACTGCTTTCCAGTCAGAGCAGGCTGGTACCACCATGAACATCAGCGTTCCGCAGGTGCAGCTGATCAACCCAGAGAATCAAATTGTGGAGGCAAGTAGCAACCTCTGAATAGTTTTCAGCTGAAATCACTTTCTTTACCATATCTTTGCTTCCTTTCCTTATTTCTTATTTTTGATTACTTCCCATTTCTAATTTAATTGTGTTTTCCTGCATCTCAGCCGGATGGGACAGTGAACTTGGACAGTGATGAAGGTGAAGAGCCTTCCCCTGAAGCATTGGTTCGTTATTTGTCAATGAGGAGGCACACAGTGGGTGTGGCTGACCCACGGTGAGTATCTGGCCAGCAGCCCTAATTAACACCCGAGCAAAGAATTCCCATCTGACTATGAGTTCCTGCCATGGTACATTTTTCCTACTTCATTGTGTCTTCCAGATGAAATCTAATCCAGTGGCCAAGACATGTTTTTAACCCAGTCCAGAGTCCCTGGTTAGAGCAGACTAGATTTGTAAAAAAATTACAGAGCTCTCCCTAATGGATAGTGGACCGGTAGCCAAAATCATGCCAATTAATCACAGTCCTTTGGTGAGGAGTATGATAGTCTCTGCCCACAAAGATTGAGGTCTCCTCATATTAAGTCACATGAAAGTACCCCTTAAAATTCAAAATTCATCTGACTTTGACAGTTTCTAGAGATGTTTGCTACATGCTCTAATGGAAGACTTATCTAGGAAATGAGGACAAATGATGCAATGTGATTTACAAATTAAATTAAGTAAACAAGACTTGAAAAACAAACTGAAGAAGTTGAAGAGTATTTTCCCAAAATAATCCTTTAGTATATTCCTGATGCCCTCACACTGGGGAAATGTCCTGAAAGCCAGCTTTTCCTTTTTTCATTTTACACTTGAAGACTCTCAATGTTAAAAATGTCCTTACCTCTTTTCTGAACGTTTCCTTTATTGAAAGAAGAAGTTGTGTCAAGAGTTCTCTTGGGAGTTCAACTAGGGGCAAAGCTGGTTTTCTAACAAATACCTCTTTTCTCTGAGTGATTTCCAAAAACCTTCCTCAGGCCTGCTGATTTGCTTGCTTTATGTTTCTCATTCTTGGCCTACGTTCAAACAGGCAGTAAGGAAACATTCTGGCTCCAAAGACTATGTCAGCAGTGTTGCTCTGCTAGTGGAAAGATCTCTTGTTTTAAAGTATGCTGTAAATCCTACTGTCGTAGTAGGACAGCCCTGCCCATCCACTACTTACTTATCAGTCCTATCAGCACTGGCAGGAGTAATTGCATTCTTTGCCTGGTGAATCAGTTGCTGCTTCAGGCAGCCATTGCTTTAGTGGGTGGCCTCTGTGCTCCAGAAACTTGCTGTTCTTCTGCTCTAGACTCTGCAGACCTGAACTGGCCTGGTGCCAGTATTTCCTCTTGGCTCAGATCTGTCGGTTTTATGTGAGTGGCCAGTAAAGAATAGCATCCCCCAGGTCCAAATAGTAAAGTGGCAGAGAGCCAGATGCCACACGTGAGGCTTCTATTGCTTTGGGAAATTTAGGAGGAAAGTAAAAAATATGTAATAAAATAAATTGTCCTGAACTTACCAGTTTTATCAGTTTTGGGATATAGTACTTTTGAGTAAGGATATTAATGAAACTTCTGTCTCATCCTGTTTCTTATCAGCACGGAAGTTATGGATGATCTGCAGAAGCTCCTACCTGGCTTTCCTGGAGTCAACCCACAGGCTCCTTTCCTACAGGTGGCCCCTAACGTGAACTTCATGCACAACCTGTTGCCCATGCAAAATTTGCAACCAGCTGGGCAGCTTGAGTACAAGGTACCTCAATATGGGAGAAGGCTTGCCCCAGAGGAAACACATTTGAACTTCCTTTGAGAGACTGAGAGACCATCCCCAGGATTTACGTGTTTCCTTGTAGAGAAGGACAATTTCTCTTGCAAAGCATCTTGGATAAGAGGGAGGATCAGTCTCTGTCACAATCAAAAGATCCCTTTATTTCAGTAGATAAGAGTCCTGCTGTTTTCTCTCCTCCTTGCCACCACCTCACGAGTCTATTCTTCACCACTGCGTTCTTGACAGGAGCAGTCCCTGTTACAGCCGCCCCCACTACAGCTGCTGAATGGAATGGGCCCCCTTGGCCGGAGGGCATCAGATGGAGGAGCCAACATCCAGCTCCATGCTCAGCAGCTGCTGAAGCGCCCACGGGGACCCTCTCCACTCGTCACCATGACACCAGTGAGTAGCAGCACAGAGCCAACGTATTTTCTCAGAGGCTTTGGATGAAGAAGTTGTGGGCCCACATTTGGTAAACCAGAATCTCCAACTTAAATGTGTGAATTTTGTTTTTCTCTAAACCTAAGGTGCTGAGTGTATCCCCATTTTCCGCAGGCTAGAAGAATTTTCCAGTCTTTATTTTTGACTGACTACTTTTCTTAACCAAATAATTTCTACACTGAAGCCTGCTCCAGAATATCCTCATCCTCAGTGGGCCATTTATACCTTTGTTAAGTATCTCTGCCACCCTGCCTCAGGGCAGTGGAATCTAACAGTTTTCTCTGTAATAAATTACTTTTTAGATTGGTTTCCAAAGTTACCTTCTCATCACCCCTTTCTCCTTTGATTAACACTACCTTGCATTTTTGGTACAACCTGGATCACATGATTGACTTTCATAAGTTCTAACCTTGTCAGTTGGTGTCTCTCAATGCTGTCTTTTTTATGTGGTGGTTACACTCAAACCCCTGCCCCTGGGCTCTGTTTATTTCTGGTTATTTTCCTGTCATAGGTAAAGTCATTCATTTATTCGTTTGTTCATTCAATCTCATAGTACACTAAGATCGGGTAGTACCTGTATCTATAGCTCTTTAAAATCTTTCTATTTTTTAAGATTTTTAAAATCTTACTCTATTTATGTACTTAACCTTATAATGGATTAGTAATGCAACAGTTTGTGGATTGGCTCAGGTCCATGGGCCATGCCTTCTGTAGCATTGCTATCAGAAAAAGGAAAGAATTGGATTTGTAGTTCTTAGCCTCACTGAGTTTATGGTATGGGAAGACAAGATCAACATATGTGAAATATTGGAATAATAGCAAAAGGCCATGTGCAGTTAAGTGCCAGAGTGAATACCATGGACTAGTAAGTAGGTGGCAGAAGCATTCAGGGAACAGCCAGATCAGTGCAGGTTACAAAGGCTCAGGAACACTTTTATAGGAGGTGGAGTGACTTACTCTGCCCACTGTAACTGTTTTTGCCAAGGTCAGTAACAAGCTTTTATTGATAAACCCAGTGGACATTTTTAATCTTTGTCATTTTGGACCTCCCAACTGTATCAGTCACTGTTGACCATTGTCTCTTTGAAATATTTTCTTTTGTTCTCTTCATGTTCCCTTTCTGCGTGTTCTTGAAGTTGGTGAAACCCAGAATTTTTATCTTAGGCCCTATTTCCATCTCTTTTTACATTCTTTGGGCGACCTTGTCTACTCATAATTTAAGTTACCAGGAGATTCTGCAGCATAGCACGCTCTTCTGGGAGATAGATAGATAGATAGATAGATAGATAGATAGATAGATAGACAGACAGACAGATATCCCACAGATTTAGTTGGTTATCCCACAAGTACTCACAATTTTAATTCAGCGTGGTCCAAAATGAGCTTATCTTGACTTGATGAAACCTGTTTCTCTTCTAGAGTGACAGTGAATAGCACTGTCATTCTCCTGGTTACACAAGCTGGGAATGCGGATTTTATCTTTAACTATTCTCTCCCCCTTATTCCCCATATCAAATTATTCACCCAATGCCTATAAAGCCCATCTTCACTGCCCTTCCTTAAGCCACTGTCATCCTTTGCCTAGATTAATGCGATGACCTCCTAATGGCCATCCACCAATACTTTTCACTCTGCAGCTAGAGTAAGCTTGCTTTCTAAAATATAAATCTTGTATCACCATGCCCCTGCTTGAAATCCTTCAGTGGTTTACCACTGCCCCTTCCTCAAAATAAAGCTATTAATGTGAAATGAAAGGCCATTTATAACTGGCCACAGTGCTCCTCTCCTGCATCATTTATAGCCTCTTTCTGCCTAATCCTGTTTACGCCAGGCCTTACAGAATTGTAGTAAGGGATCTGGAAATCCTAGAAACATTGGAACAATAAATTAGTCCAAAAAGTTTTTTGTTTTATAATTGTTATCCATTTAAAAAATGCTCTTTCAAAATCATGGAAGTACGATTTTTGCTCTGGTGCCTGAAGCATGGTGATTATGTGAGCCATGAGGCTGTGAGTAGCTGTCGAGAATGCAGAGCATTCCAGGGCATAAGCAGTAGGAAGAGTCACATTAATGCATGCATTGTGGTGGTTCTCACTTCATTTACATGTATAGGTGGGTAACAGCAATTTTAAAGCATTGAATTGCAACTGCACAATTATATATTGTATACTTTTAAAAAACTATCCTGACTTTCTGGAGTTAAAGACAGCTGAACTCTGGAAATAGCATTAATATGCAAAAACAGGTCACTTCTAGACAGTTCAGGTAAACAGGCCTCTGCTTTATTTTCAGGTCCTCAAATACCTGCAGGCCTTTTCCCTCAGCCTGGAAACCTCAAAGGCTTATGGCCCCTTTTCCTCTTATCTTTGCTAGCTCCTGTTTATTTTTCAGGTCTCAGGATAGGTGTCACCTCTTCCAAGGTGCCTTCCTTGATTCCCATGTGACCTATAGAGGACTTGGTTATGCTGTTTTTAAATTGTCTGTTTACTTGTCTCTATCCTGCACTACACTGTAAAATAAGGGTAAGAACTACATCTGTTAACTCACATTTTATCCCGGAACACAGTAGGTATTCAGCTATTTGTTGATAAATGAACGAATGAAGATGAATCAGAGGAAGAAATCCAATTAAAAATTTAAAATAACCTGAACAAGGTAAAAATGGAAAAATAGAAAGGTGTATGAAAGTTCTCTATAGCTCAGGGGTCCTAAGAATAGTTTTATAAATAAAAAAATTAACAGAAAGACCTGCACCAAGTCCAGTTTCCAAAGAAAGCACCACCTTGAGCTTTTTCCTTCTGTCCCTTTTCAGGCAGTGCCAGCAGTTACCCCTGTGGACGAGGAAAGCTCGGATGGGGAGCCTGATCAGGAAGCTGTGCAGAGGTAATGTGGCATCTGGCAGTGCTTGCAGAGTGTTCTTGGGCAGGCTCCTTCTGCAACCAACGAAAGGTCACGTCTGCCCAAGGAGGTGGTACGGTGCAGCTACAACATTTGTGTGGTCTCTTTGCCCAAGGCAGATGGCATGTTCCTCCCTACATGGAAGTAACAGAAGACTACCCAGAAAATTTCATTTCTGTAAGCGCCATTGGAAGTCCCCTGTGTGACAGCATTAACCATAAGAAACTTTTCTCTCCTCCCTCCTACCTTTCTTGCCCCCTGCCTTCATATTGCAACTCTGATAGTATTCACAAGGCACAAAGCCCACTCCTACCTACCAAGAACTGCTTACTGAAAAGAAATTGGAGGTTTGGTATATGACAGTGATCCTAGCTAGTCTGGCCATGGACCTCTGGCATGGACTCTTCCTTTCCAGAAGAATGAATACCTTTTGTACTGTTTGCTCTGTGCTTCTTGCATCCCCCTGTACTTGTACCAACAAAGAGATACTGACAAAGAATATGGGATTTGGGCTCGGGGCGGATACAGATATCCATGGTTTGCAGGACCTCATTGAGCAATGCCTGATTACACAGAAAACAGCAGTGACCACCAGGCTTGGCATACTATTCATTTCACCTCAGTTCCATTAGCTGTGGTCCTCAGCTCTATGCATGGCCCCTGTGGAGTAGTCATTCTTATTTTCTGGGGAGGGGTGTTTGACCGGAATCCAGCATGTACTTTCCCAGAAATACAGGTGTTCATTAAGATATATGTTTTTCTTATATCTTGAGGGGAGTTGAAATAAAATGGTTTTCATGGGCTCTTGGGGAAACTTTGAGTGTCTTAATCAGATGGATATTAAAGTGCTAATGGTTTACTCTTTTTCAAGTTTATATACCATTAATTACTCTAGAGTCTGATAACTTTTAGCTTAAAGGGGCAAAGTAGTTATGAATGAAACAAGACCACTTTTTAAGAACCTAATGGTTGCTAGCCAGCTCTCTTCCTACCCCCAGTAGCTCTGTATGAGAGCTACTGTTCAAAGAGAAGCTGATCCCAAGTGGAAAGAAGAGTGGAAAACAGGGATGTTGGCAGGTGGGTCAGCTCCTATAGCTTAGCTGGTAGAAGAAAAATTGTGGTGACTTTTTCTTTTGATGCTGGTTTTTTCTATAGTTTGCTGGTAACAAGGTATGTGAAGTTGCAAATGAAGAGAAATTAGAAAACTGCCTCCCTACTTTAATTAGACAGCAATATTTCATATTATCTTCTTTGTCTTGGACTTTACTTCCTTGAGCTCCATCTTCTTTCTTCTTTAGACCAGCATTTAAAGAGTAAAACAATGCCCGTTAGTTTTGTGGCAGTGAAGAGGAATAGTGCTTGTTTCATGCATGCTCAAGTAGAGCAGCAGTGGTGGAGGAAAGAATCAACAAGATGAAAGGCGTCCAGTGTCTTCTCAGTGGTATTGACCACATGGCAGATATGAAAGATCTTCAGATTAAAGGCATCAGCTTGTCTACTCTTCAGCTTCTGAAACTTGTACCTTGTTGTTGCCTTGGCTTTTTTCCCCCCTTAAAAACAATTCTAAACATTTCATGTGGTTTCATTTGTTCATCTTCTAGACAATGTTGGTTGCCACGGAACAGTATCATTTTGTCTTCTCTGATGATTGAGTTACAATCTGGGGCATGAGGGAAAGGGTGATTTTGGAATTTACTATCCCTGAATGGCAGGATCTGTTTTTCTGAGACTTGTAGTGAGGACATGCTCAAAACCTGGGGACCAGTGGGGTCCAGAGACATAGGTGGAACCCTTCTTAATATCTCCCTTGGCTCATCTCTAGGAATAATCCTTAGGGCTCATTTTCTCCAACTTAATATTTTTTGATATTTGGAGAGAAAAGAGAAGAATAAAATTAACAGGTAGGAAATAAATTCTTCTGTTAGTTGGACTGAAGTAAGGAAAATCAGTCTTTATTAACTACATCTGTTTTCCCTCTTGTCTTCAGTGGCTGCTCTTAGGTCCAAAATTTAGCCACTTCAGTGGTAAGCCAGCTTCTGTTGGCCAGTTGAATAGGCTTCACTCTCATCCAGTCAGGGATCTGTTTGCCACAGAGCCCTTTTTGAGCTCTGGCACTGTTTCATTCTGAGTGCTTTAGATGAACTTCTAATGCTTCTTGCTGAGGAATATTCTTGTCTGTCTTTTTTACTATGAAATGTGCTCCTGCTTGTTGCAGGTACTTGGCAAATAGGTCCAAAAGACATACACTGGCCATGACCAACCCTACAGCCGAGATCCCACCGGACCTACAACGGCAGCTAGGACAGCAGCCTTTCCGTTCCCGGGTCTGGCCTCCTCACCTGGTACCTGATCAGCATCGGTGAGTAGCCACATGAGCTATGTGAGCTCCTTGAGGTTCATCAGACAGGCACTCCTCTGGCTAGTCTTAACAGTGATGGTGACCAGCATCAAGCCTTTAACTCGCATCCTGAACTTATATCTTCTCAGCTCCTTGCACTAAGCTGTACACAGAGCAGTTTAAGATTCTTCTTTCGCATTAGTTCGTAGGCATGTTTATTTTCTGCACTTGATTCTCGTGATTCTAGATGTCGACTCATAGATGAAATCGAACTTGAAACCTGCAAGGAAGTGAAGCTCTCAAAGGGCCAACTGGAAATAAGAGGATTTCTGGCCATATTAGTAGACTTGACCTTTAATAACCCATCACCTTCAAAAGAATGAGCATTTTTTTATCATGTTACCACTGAACAATGAGCTAGGATATAGAGGAAGATACATCTCTTTGTGAATGGTAGAGCAGAGATACTGCATCTTCTTGAATGTTGTGCTTGAAAAGTCATTCTTGCAATATTCTGATGGCAAATTCTTTAACTAGGACTCTGTCACATTTATACTTCATTCTCTTGAAGAAATAAAAAATGTAACCATACCTGGCAAGCGAAACTTCACAAAATTGAATCCCAGTAAACCTAGAAGCAAAGAGGAGTGACACTTCGCTAGATTAAGATGGTTATCTTCTGTGAATACCTTGATGACTACAAATCTTAGCTCTCTCCATTCTGAAAACATCCCCAAGCTCATGGGTCACACTTTCAAAGCCACCACCGATTGCTAGAGCTTATTTTATTTTAATCTTTTTTGGAGGACAATGAAGAGCATTCTTACTTAAGAATGTTGAAGAGCAGTCAGATTTCAAGAAAATTAAGTTTATAAATGTACTCTTGTTAAATCTTGCGACGAGCTCACACTGGCAAGCTTGACAGTGTTTTTTATTGTGACTGGTTACCCATTGGGCATTGATGTAATCAGCAGAGAGAGGTGAACTCTGAGCAGACTGAGACATAATTAATGCCACGTTGGAACTCCGAAAGAAGGAAGATAAGCTTTTATAAATGACCATGAATAACTCAGTAAAAAATGGTCTGTTACTGTGAGGAATGATGATTCTCAAATAAAATTCTGATGGCACAAAGAGTATTTTTCTAAGGAAAATCCCTCAGCACCCACATTGTTAGGGTACTGCATCAAAAGGTACTTTGATTATTAGAAACTGCCTTTCTACCCCATAAGTTTTCTATGATTTCTTAATAACTCTAAGCTTTACATTATTACCTAATAGACCCTTGACCATTTTATTTCTCCTTGTTTTGATCTTTCTGTCCTCTACAACCTGGCACTTAATTTTTCAGCCGTTGTCAGGATCTGTTGTTTAGCTGAAAACCTTTGGGTATCCTTGCTTAATTCAAAGTGTTCCTCAGGAGGTATTGTTATCAGAGAAACATGAAGATCGGCACATCTCCACAGTTAGCCTTTTTCACAGACTCTATATCCTGTTTACATTTGTTACTAAAGGAAAACTACGTTGGCTCTTAACTGTGTGTATGTGGTTTCCACCCTGCCCACAGTCATTGTCAGGGCCTTGCCTGCTAGAAATCTGTCTGCTGTCTGTTTTCCTGTGGTCAAGAAAGTTTGAATTGAAATAAATGCTTTATGAGTGTCAGATTGTGTAAGGTGGGACATTTATGCAAACCCAGCACATATGGCAACACGAGACTGAAGATAGTCTGCAGTGGAAAAAAGATACTTTCCAAGGCTGTAAAACACTGAAAATTGGTGGCCTAGAGAGATTATTGAATTTCTTTTATCTTCCAGAGGAAATGACTCAACAACAGCAAATATATATATTCTTCTGGAGAATAATAGATGAACACCAGCATTGAGACAAGAGAGGAGTCTGATCAACCTTTTTAATCTTGGAAGTGTGTAGTGTGAAATTTTTAAAGATTTTAAGTGTGATTTAAAAAAAAAAAAAATCTAACATAGGATGGATCTAATCTAGGTGGGGACCCAATCCCTGTTTGAAAAGTATAGTGGGAATATCAGCCTAATATGAAGCTCTCTTGAGTTTAAATATGATTCCTAATAAAAATAAAAACGGTTGATACTGTCAGTGCTTCCAAAATGAGCAACTGCATCAGAACTATTCCCCCGAAGTTACTGTGCTGGGCTGACCTGGGTGGCAGTCTGTTCATGACCTGAGCTTCTGGAAAAGTCATGAACTACCTGGGCCTGGGAGTATTGCTCTGATGGGAGAGAATGGGTTTTGTGCAGATAGACTCCATTAACTACTTGAAGAACACAGCTTTCTGAGTGAATCAGAAATGTGTCTGTTATCAGGAAAAATTAAAAGTATAAGAATCAGATTCGAAGAGAAAACAATATATGCTTGCTTTAACTTCAAGTTAAAGCAGAAGTAAGAAATATTGAGGAAATGCCTCTAAAAGCAGCTTTCATGATCACTGTGTCTGGAGTGTGTCTGCCAAAATCATTTGTCTTTTGTGTTACTGAAACAAATACATATATGTTCATGCTCATTTCATTAGCTCACTACTCTGTCAAGCTTCAGGTAGAGTCTGAAACAAAAGTCGTCATTAGAAGGGAGGGCATAAAGGGCTTTTCTCCTGCTGCCAGAGCACTCTTTTGGCCTCTGCACAGTCATCAGACTCTTCTCCCTCCCTGTCTGCATTATCACTTGCTTGTTCGCTTGCTTCCTTAGCCTTGGTTCTGCTTCAGTCCAGAATGAGTAATTGGCAAGGTGGCACCTCATTTCATCCATAGTTCACTGTGATATCACCTCTGCCTGGACACAAAACCCTGATGCTTTCCATCAGCTTCTGGGATGCTTCTTTGGCAGTCTTTTATCTGCTTAACCCACAAACATCTGTGTCTGATGATGTCACAGGTATAGGTGTTAGCTTCTAACCCTGATGCTATCTCAGGCATTCTTTACCAATAACTTGTTCTTTCTTTCTGTAAGATACTGACTGGCTGTGTTCTGATTGATCAGTGGGGTTTTGGATGGTAATTCACACGAATGATCTTTCATGAGGACGTTGGAGGTTAATTTTCATAGTAGGTAGCCTTGTTTGCACTGGCCAGATTTCACAGTAGGTATCCTTATCTGTGTTGCACAGTTTTGAGGCCCACATTCCTTAAGAATGTGCTCTCTCTGTCTGGGGATTAGAAGTCCCCCTTGCCCTTCATTTTCTAGCACAGAACCTGTTAATTCCAGGCCAGACCGTTGACCACAAAGCTAACTGTAGCTTCCTCCTGGTCATACGTGCTTACTGCTCAAGGAAAACTTTGAGTCAAACAGTGAATTTAGATTTCAAAAGGCACTAGATAGAGACATGATGAGTAAAAAAAGAAGAAAAAAGAAGTTTTTTATAACAGCTTGGCCTGAGGGATATCTAGAAGCTCTTCTCTCCGACCTGGTATATTTGTAAGAACTGGATATATTTGATCCCAGGACAGGACCTCACCAGGTTTGGCAATTAAGACAACCTAAGGTAAGTAGAAAAGGAAGCTGTGTACCTGGAGCCCTCTAACAGGGGAGCAGGCTAGGGAAACAACTGGCTTCTGGAGATGGCATGGACATGGCATCATATGCAGGGGCACAGGGGGCAGCCACCCATCTTTGTGTCCATCTGGAATAGCACTTCTTAGGTGATGTGGTCAAAACCCCTGAGTCCCAGCCCCTAACCTTCTCTTCCCATATATGCAGCTCTACTTACAAGGACTCCAACACCCTGCACCTCCCTACAGAGCGTTTCTCTCCTGTGCGCCGGTTCTCAGATGGGGCTGCAAGCATCCAGGCCTTCAAAGCTCACCTGGAAAAAATGGGCAACAACAGCAGCATCAAACAGTTGCAGCAGGTAATGGAGAAGCATGGGTAACAGAGACCACTTCCATCCCCTTCACATCAGCAGTATGGCAGTTTTACAGATTCAAAGCCATACAGCCATCTAATGCTAACCCCATGAAGGGACTAAGTTTTCCTCCTGTCTCTGTAGTTCATTAGAGAGGAATTTCTGTGCTTGGCTTTCAGTGGGAAGCACCAGGAAAGGTACTTGTAAGCAACCCTGGCATTGCTCTCAGAATGGGCAGTGGGTCTTGTGGGAGCTTGCTGTGCATTGCTACCACCTGGCATACTCACCAGTTGGTATGGAATGGTGCTCCCAGAGGAAGGATGTGTACCGTCAGTCTTCTAAACCAGCTTCCTTTCTGCCTTCCTGATGACCAAGTTTCAGGTGGCATATTCTTTGTATCCAGACTTCACACTGGACATTTTCACTTGTACACAGACCATCCTTGGTGTTTCCCATTAGTTCATGCAAAACAGAGTGTGAATATGTACTTAATACATAAATACCTATATAAGTGGATGAGTTGCTCATCGAGGATACTGTGTTGGCTCTTTATCTCCATGAAACCTCGGGGCAGATCTGCATCTGCCGACATCACGGCATGGGGTGGGCCTGGCTGCATCCCATCTGTATTAACTGCTTTCCCTTCAGGAGTGTGAGCAGCTGCAGAAGATGTATGGGGGGCAGATTGATGAAAGAACCCTGGAGAAGACCCAGCAGCAGCATATGTTATACCAGCAGGAGCAACACCATCAAATTCTCCAGCAACAGATTCAAGTAGGCCTTCGTTCTTTGCTCTCCCCAACTTGTTTGGAGTTTGCTTTCAGGCCAATTTGCCTGTGATTTTTGGAGGAGATCATGTGAGACCAATTGGAGTTATGTTTATGGTTGACATGTTCAGGTAAAGGTAGACTTTTTTTGATGAACGACAAAAGCATACATCTCAGTGACAGTTCTTTCCATTCTTTCCCTTCCTGAGAATAACTCGTGTTAATCTTCAAGCTCACAATTACTTTTCTCCTTTCCCCCATATGTTTTAGGATTCTATCTGTCCTCCTCAGCCTTCTCCGCCTCTTCAGGCTGCATGTGAAAATCAGCCTGCCCTCCTCACTCACCAGCTCCAGAGGTAATGAGTCATTTTGTTTTGTGCCTAAGCCATTGTCTTTATAGTTTGGTGTCCTTGGCCTGACTCCTGTGGGAGATACTGACTAACTTTAGCTTTCATCTTGGAAAACTTACTTGAAAAGTAGAGAAACCAATTTAAATTTCAGCAGCCTCCCTTGAAATCCTGACTTCCTATGCCACTTCATTTTCTTAGCCACATGAATAAAGTAATCTGACATCTAATACAGAAGGTCAGATACTGGCCCACAACGACCTCTGCCTCTTTGGGAAATTCCAGTAAAATAATATGTGAATGGATTTTAAGTAGACGGTGGTGAGTGGATTATGTATGTTTTCCTAGCCTGGAGGCTTATCAAAACTGAAAAAAATAGCTGCTGCTTATGTGTATCAAATGGCTGAAGCTAATTTCAAGGCTATAATGTTGCCTCAGGAAATTTATTTATCTGGTTTTGTTGTTTTTGAAGGTTAAGGATTCAGCCTTCAAGCCCACCCCCCAACCACCCCAACAACCATCTCTTCAGACAACCCAGTAACAGTCCTCCGCCCATGAACAGTGCCATGATCCAGTCTCACGGTGAGTGGAGAGGTTTAGGCTGATCCATAGTATGCCACATGAAAAAAATGAGTCATCGCTTTGAATGCCACAGGCAATTGATTTGAATGGCAGAATAATATAGTATTTAAGGGTGTGGGCTTTAGTTTAGACTGCCTTGGTTTGAATCCTGTTTCTACCAACTCCTTAACTCTGAACCTCGAATTACCTACTTAATTTCAGTTCACCTCAGCTTTCTCAAATGTAAAATAGGGATAATAATAGTATTTAATGAATAAATATATGCACTTGAAACAGTCTCTGGCACCCAATAGTTCTCAATAAAAGTTATCTATTAATATTTTTAATAAAACATCCTCCAACTCTATCAAATAAAAAGCTGCTACCAGAACCTTCCTTATTGTCGCGCCTCTGTTTGGTTATCCATTGTGCATGTGGATCCTCTCTTGTGGGTGTTCAGATGAAGGTGAAGATGAGTATACTCTAATTAGTGTGGGTCTTTCGAGACCAGCAGTATGAGGACTTAGCATTCAAAAACTGGTAATCTCTTACATAACGCCACACAGTCTAGATCCCCTGGACGGTCTGAATTGGTCTCTGTATTTTTCCTACTCAAGGTAGGGTTCCCTGACCAACAACGTGAGCAGGAAAATTAGAATCTCAGACCTGTTAAATCAAAATCTGCATTTTAGCAGTATCCCCAGGCCATTTGTATGCACAGTAGAGTTTGAAAAACACTGTTCCAAGTCATGGAATAATCCATGGACCAACTTTCATGGCAACTTCTTAGAATTGCAAATCCATGGGGCCCTAGCCTTACCTACTGAATCAGAATTCTGTGGGTAGTGCCCAGGAATGTGTGTTTTGACAAGTCCTCCACATGAGCCTTATGCACACTAAGAAATGTGTGAGAAGCACTGCTCTAGGTGGTACTTGGTTTGTTATCCTCATTGGCTCCCATTACCTCCAGCTGCCAGGTACTGTGAGCATTCAGTCACTCTGAGGTGCCTTTCTCTCTAGGTGCAGCATCTCCCTCCCAGTTTCAAGGCTTACCCTCCCGCAGTGCAATCTTCCAGCAGCCACCTGAGAACTGTTCTCCTCCTCCCAACGTGGCACTGACCTGCTTGGGCATACAGCAGCCTGCCCAGTCACAGCAGGTGACCATCCAAGTACAGGAGCCTGTTGACATGCTTAGCAACATGCCGGGGACAGCTGCGGGCTCTGCTGGGCGGGGCGTCTCCGTGAGCCCCACTGCCAGTCAGATTCAGATGCAGCACCGTGCCAACCTGATGGCCACCTTCAGCTACGGCCACCGGCCCTTGTCCAAGCAGCTGAGTGCTGACAGTGCAGAGGCCCACAGGTAAGGCTACTTAAAGCCAGCCGGCCCGCCAGCCAGCCAGGCGATCTGGGAGGGAGGAAGCCTCTTAGCAGGGCAAGAAAGGAGGAGGGAAGAAGAATGGGTTTGACTGAGCTATGCTTGTTTGACCCTTTCTAAATCGGAGTGGTAGGTTCGGGGTGAACATGAAACCTATTTATTGACCAAATAAGGGATAAAAATGCTAATGAGACAGGAGAGGAAAATTACAAAGCTATCCTACTATTTTTCTGCAAAGAAGAAAATGGCCTATTAGAGAAGCTGGTAAAATTGCCAGTTTCCCTTGTGTATTCTTTGAGGATTCTTTCCCTCTCTTGTCACTTGTATTCCAAGAAATTGGTGCTTCTTAGTGGCTTAAATGATGCTGTAAGATAGTTGCTACCTTTAACCTAGAGCTGGGTCTGTTACACACAGTGCCCTAAATCCCTTAGACGTTACTGGGTAGGTGAGTGCAGGGATGAGTTGGGATGATGCATACATCCATCTTCCCTGTCACACCACAGTTCTCTGTATCACTGGAGCTCCCTACTGAGAAAGAGGAGTAGCAGCTATTCTCCAGGGGAGCACAGTGCACTTGTTACGTGGATGCCTGGTACTCACTCCCTTTTGTGTCTGCAGCTTGAACGTGAATCGGTTCTCCCCTGCTAACTACGACCAGGCGCATTTACACCCCTACCTGTTTTCGGACCAGTCCCGGGGTTCCCCCAGCAGCTACAGCCCTTCAACAGGAGTGGGGTTCCCTCCAACCCAAGCCCTGAAAGTCCCTCCACTTGACCAATTCCCCACCTTCCCTCCCAGTGCACATCAGCAGCCACCTCACTATACCACGTCAGCACTGCAGCAGGCCCTGCTGTCTCCCACGCCGCCAGACTATACAAGACACCAGCAGGTACCCCACATCCTCCAAGGACTGCTTTCTCCCCGGCATTCGCTCACCGGCCACTCGGACATTCGACTGCCCCCAGCAGAGTTTGCACAGCTCATTAAAAGGCAACAGCAGCAGCGACAACAGCAGCAGCAGCAAGAGTACCAAGAATTGTTTAGGCATATGAACCAGGGAGATGCTGGGAGTCTGGCTCCCAATCTTGGGGGACAGAGTATGACAGAGCACCAGGCTTTACCATATCAAAATACTGACTCATACCACCACCACCACACCAGCCCCCAGCATCTTCTACAAATCAGAGCACAAGAATGTATCTCACAGGTTTCCTCACCCAGCCCGACCCATGGTTATGCTCACCAGCCGGCACTCCTGCCTTCGGAGAGCATGGAAGAGGAGTGCTCATGCGAGGGGGCCAAGGATGGCTTTCCAGACAGGAAGAGTTCAAATGCATTGACCAAAGGTTGCCATGACAGTCCCCTACTCCTGAGTACTGGCAGACCTGGGGACCCTGAATCTTTACTAGGAACTGTGAGTCATGCACAGGAATTGGGGATACATCCATACCGACATCAGCCACCTGCTGCATTCAATAGAAATAAGGTGTCCAGCCGAGGTAAGAGTCCCTTCACAGTAAAAGTCCTGGGCCAGTCTGCCCCAATTCAATTAACTTAGTAATGTTATCTTTTTTCAGCTAGTACTTTGTGTTCCTAAGAGAAAAAGAATTCCCGAGAAGACCTTCAGGACCTTTTGAGGGAGAAGCATGTAGGAAGTGGGTATTGGTGGGTAAGGGGTCTGTTTTCAAAATTAAAAGCTAGTGATAGAAAATTAACACTTAGAAAATACAGTCAGTAAGATGTATTATCTATTTCCCTTATTCATACCATGTTTTTTACAATACAGAATTTCTTGACATCAGAATAGCCAACTTTAACTTCTGCAATAGAAAAAAGTCAACCAATGGTAAGGAAATATAATTTAGAATAAATAGCATTGGACAAAAAGTCAAAGCATCTCAGTTCTGAACTTGACTCTGTCATGAATGCGATAACCTTGTCACTTAAACCTTCAGGTTCTTATTTTCCTCACCTGTGAAAAAGAGGCAGGAGGAGTGATGGTGCTTTGCAGAATATCTGGGAAGATTAAAGCATGCATATATGTGTTTGTCTCTGTATGTAATGTATGTGTATGTGTGTATGAGAGTAAAAGAGGAAGAAGTGTAATCTGAAATTATAAATGTGAGGTACTATTATTATTATTACTCTGATCACTTCATTAATAAACTAAGTGCAAACTATTACAGCATCGTAAGGGGCCCCATGCCATTTCATTTTGTCTTTATAATAAGTGAGTACATTCATTTTCCTTCTGAGAGAGATTAATATTACCATCAGTAGGTTATACTCAGAAAATGTGTTCCATTAACATCATAACATTCATCCTAAACAAAACATGGACTAATATCTATCCCATTTTCACAGATCTTGAAAAACGAGTGTGTCCATAAATGTACAACCCTGAAACTGAGCATTTCTTATATCCTTCCCTTCTTAGAGCTACCTGCACCTCCTGCTCTGTCTTTTAAAGTCAACACACAGAACTCAGCTGCTAAGTCCCATGGTGCAGGGCAGCACAGAAAGCTTTGCTCTAAATCAGTTTATGTGAGAAAGACTTGGTGCTTTAAGGTTGTGCTCACTATGCACTGACAGGGAGAGACATCTGGTTGCATAGAACACCTGTTAATTCCTGGGTTTTTTAACAGTGGGAAGCCATCCCAGTTAGAGATGTGCACCAGTCCGGTGTGTTGTGAGAAGTTTCAGAATCAAGTCATATGTGGAATGGCTGACAGACCTGGGGATGTTTTGTATTGGGGAAAGTAAACTAAGGAGAATCATCATACCACTTAGATGGAAGAATGGATTTGACTTTTCTGAGTTCTTATTTTGAGCAGAACCAAGATCAGAAGAGAAATAGCAGCATATATCAACTCCCTAAATACTTTTATAAAAAGAGCGATCCTAGACTTCCAGTCAAGATGGAGGTGTAGGTAAACATCTCTACGACAACTGTAGCAAAAAATGCAACTAGACTACAAAAAAAAAGTATCACCCAGATTTGTCAGAAAATTGAGCTGTGTCAAAGTCCAAAAACCAAGGGTATAAGAAACCACATTCATCCAGATAGGTGGAAAGGGCAGAGAAAGTGGAATGGCACAGAGAGGTATGGAGACAGAATGGGCAGCCCCACATCCACGTGTAGTGGATAAAATACGAGAGGGTTACCTTGGAGACAAGGGATCCCAGCCCCAGTCGAGACCCCCCTCAGCCCAGGGCTCCAGTGTCAGGAAGATAAGTCTCCATAACTTCTAGCTGTAAAAACCAGTGAGGGTTGGGGCAGTGGAAGACACTGAGGGATTCTCAAGAGACTCCTCTTACAGGGCCCACAACGGTCTCAGGACTCAAGCAGATCCACCCCCTCTTGGATTCAGCACCAGAGCAACAGCTGGAAAGGTACCAGTGACATACGGGGAGAAAGTGAAGTGCAGGTGCCAGGAGACAGCTTCCTCTTGGGCAAAACGCCAGAGGCCACATAGCGGCATTGTCACCTCTGCGAGCCCTCCCCCACACAGAGCAACAGAGTGGTGGCTCGGGTTAGCTAAGGCTCTGCCCCATACAACGTAACAGGTGTGCTTTTCCACAATAGGCCAAGCTTCTAAGATGGGGTCAAAGCAGCTCTACCTAATACACAGAAACAAACAAAGGGAAGATGCCCAAATGAGGAGTCAAAGAAATATGGCCCAAATGAAAGAACAAAACTCCAGAAAAATAACAAAATGAAATGGAGATAAGCAACCTATCAGATGCACAGTTCCAAACACTGGATATCAGGGTGCTCCAGGAACTCACGGGGCACTGCAACAGCATGAAAAAGACCCAGGCAGAAATGAAGCCTTCATTAAGTGAAGTAAAGAAAAACCTACAGGGAACCAAGTGGAGGGGATGAAGTCGAGTATCAAATCAATGATTTGGAAAACAAGGAAAAATCATTGAATCAGTACCACAGGAAGAAAAAAGAATTCGAGAAAATGAGGGTAGGCTTAGGAACCCCTGGGACATCTCTAAATGTACCAACATCCAAATCATGGAAGTGCCAGAAGGAGAAGAGGAAGAGCAAAAAATTGAAAACTTACTTGAAAAAAAGGAAAGGAAACTTCCCTAATTGGGTGAAAGAAGGAGACATACAAGTCCAGGAAGCACAGAGTCCCAAACAAGATGGACCCAAACAGGACCACACCAAGACACCTCATAATTAAAATGCCAGACGTTAAAGATAATCTTAAAAGCAGGAAGAGAAAAGCAGATAGTTACCACAAAGGCATTTCCGTAAGACCGTTGGCTGATTTCTCAAAAGAAACCTTGCAGGCAAGAAGGGACTGGCAAGAAGTATTCAAAGTGATGAAAAGCAAGGACCTACATCCCGGATTACTGTATCCAGCAAAGCTATCATTTAGAATGGAAGGGCAGATAAAGGGCTTCCCAGACAAGGTAAAATTAAAGGAGTTGATCATCACTAAGCCATTACTATATGAAATGCTAAGGGGAAGTATACAAGAAAAAGAAGATCAAAACTATAAACATTAAAATGGCAATAAATTCACAACTATCAATAATTGAACCCAAATAACACACTAAGCAAACAACCAGAACAAGAACAGAATCATAGATATGCAGATCATTCTGAGGGTTATCAGTTGGGAGGAAGAAGGGGGAAATTGGGGGTGGGGGGGTTTGCAGGGATTAAGAAGCACAAAATAGGGGGATGTTAAGAGCAGTGTAGGTAATGGAGTAGCCAAAGAACTTACGTGACTCACGGACATGAACGAAGGAGGGGATTGCTGGAAAGAATGAGGGTACCTGGCGGAGGAGGGCAAAGGGGAGAAAAATGGGTACAACTGTGGTAGCATAGTCAATAAAATATATTTAAAGGGGGAAAAAACGATTCTAGCATAGGCTGCTTGAGGAGCCTGGGAACTTTTGTCTGTTCTAGCAGAGTCAAGATGGTGGTAATAGAGATGCTGTGGGAGAACTCCTTGTGTGAATGAAAGCTTTCATGAGCTTAGCATACTATAATTGTAAAAAATGAACTTTTGTATAGGGTTTTCCGAGTGCTGGGCACCAAATGCTATTCATATATAAATTTATTTAATCTTCCTAACAACGCTATGTGGCAATAGCTCTTACTATCCCAATCTTACCAGTGAGACAACTGAGGCGCAGAGTAATTTGCTCCCAAGGTCCACAGCTAGTAAGTGGCATCTGAATGCAAGGGTCATTCAGTTCACTCTGGCGGATGCCTGCTGAGCATATCCTTGGTGTGCAGGACACCAAGGAAAGAGCAAAGTTGGAGCAAATAGTGCACACTCCCCATTCCCCCACCCTGGATTGCCATGTATTAAAACAATTTTTGAAATGTTTTTGTTCAGAAATTATTCTAATTCCTCTTCATTTCCCCCCTCTGGCCTGACTCTTCTCTACAGAAAGGCTGGAGGGCTTAAATTCACCTGTATCCTGTAACCGTCAGAGAAACCTTTCAGTGGGCTTGCCAATCTACTTGGTACCTAAACTAAGACAGAATGAGTTTGATACAAGTGTGGGCGTACCAAAGGTGGGAGACATTAGTTCTCAATCAGAAGAATTAGTTCTTAGCCAGCAGTCAGTGGCATTTGAACTGGGTGTAATGAATGAAGATGATTTCACTGTTTGGATTCTGGGGAGAAGTATGAGAAAAGACCAGTGGGTAAGAATATATCGGGGATGTTTTGAGGGGATAACAAGCAGACTTGGTTGGTTTGAAGAGCAGTGTACATGAAGGAACTAGTATAAGTTAAGGGAGAGCTTTTCTAAAGTCTAGAGCATGGTGTAGGTACAGCTACAATGTGCCAGGACAGTAGTGGCACAGTACTCAATTTTCCTGCCAGTTTTAAATCAATACACAATTCTGTCAGTTATACCTCTTGTAAATTTAAGGCCTTGATTTCAGGCCAGAACTTCATGGTTATAGTTCTTCTGACAAGTCTCTCCTTTCTCTAGCTGAGTTACTATCATTACCTCTCTCCTCCCTCTTTTTCCCTGTCTTCTTACATCTACCTCCATCACCACCATTATCCCTTGCAAATATCTCTTCTGCTTTTTGGAAGAAACCAGAGTAAGTGTATTTCTGAAGGTCAGCTCAACACTCCCTGTCTTTGTTGCGTCATTATTAGCTTTGTGCTTTTTTTTCTTAAGCCCTTTTTTTTCTTAAATATTTTTTCTTTTATCTTTGGTATGAGCTTTTCTAGAAGCTGTAGTCTTAGCTCCTGTCAACATATCATAGAGATTATTCTTCCTTCTTTCTACCCAGTTTACTCTAAGCTTACTCTTTAACTTAGCTACAGACTATGCCCGTTCTCAGTTGAATACTGCTTACCTTTTCCTAATGACTTTCGGAAACACACATACAATTATCTTTAATGAATAAAGCCACAAACTATGTGTATTTAGAATACCGTATAGTGAAGTAATGCAATAGAGAAACTAATGGTCTAAGGAACCCTGATGCTGCTCAAGAGTTAAAATCCCTTTGAAGATACATATCTGTGTGTTTAAAATGATTTCTTATCCTGGGAGTCCCCATTGTTCTTACATAAACAACAGTAGCTTATTCTGACAGAAGGCCTGACAGTGGGCCTGGCTCTATCTTCTCCTTTTTTTCATCTGTGTACTTACGGATGTTAAGCTAAATGCCTCTAAGAGAAGGAGGATGGAATTAATGTTTGTAGTAAGTCTGCTCCATGCATGCTGCTTTCAACTCAGTTACTCATTTCTTTTCACAACCATCTTGGGATGAATATGTTATATGATCCCTTTCACAGTAGAAACCGACTCCACTATCTCCCTTCTTCAACCTGACATGATTCTTTCTAT